ACGAAAGAGACCGAGAGAAGACGGCGTTTATAACACCGGACGGCCTCTTCGAGTTTAAGGTGATGCCTTTCGGCCTTTGCTCAGCGCCTGCAACTTTTCAACGCGTTATGGATACCGTACTGGCAGGATTGAAGTGGCAGACTTGCCTTGTGTACTTGGACGACGTCGTCGTGTTTTCCTCGAGTTTCGACGAGCATCTTCGGCGCCTTGAAGCTGTACTTCAAGCCATCAAGACGTCCGGACTCACACTGAAGCCAGAAAAGTGCAGATTTGCGTACGAGGAGCTTTTGTTTCTGGGGCACGTTATCAGCAAGTCTGGAGTTCGTCCCGATCCACGGAAAACAGCCGCCATCGCCGACTTCCCGCCGCCCACTGACAAGAAGGCCGTGCGCCGATTTCTGGGCCTGTGCGCGCGCCTATTATAGGCGGTTCGTGAAAAACTTCGCCCGCATCGCCGATCCTCTCACTAACCTTACCAAGGCCGATGTGGAGTTCAAGTGGAAAATGCCACAGGAACACGCTTTCCAGGCGCTTAAACATCGCCTCCAGACGCCTCCGCTACTTGCCCAATTCGACGAATTCGCCGAGACAGAAATACACACTGACGCAAGCAGTGTAGGTCTTGGCGCCGTTCTTGTGCAGAGGGCTGAAGGACTTGAAAGGGTTATTAGTTACACCAGCCGATCGCTATCCAAAGCAGAAGCCAATTATTCCACAACAGAAAAGCAGTGCCTCACCATCATCTGGGCTACGTCAAAATTTCGCCCCTACCTCTACAGCAGGCCCTTCAAAGTTGTGAGCGACCACCACGCCTTGTGTTGGCTAGCCACCTTGAAGGACATCACTCATTATGTGAGGACATGCCAGGACTGTCAGCGACGCAAGACACCGCCGACAAGGTCAGCGGGACTTCTGCAGCCAATGGAACCACCTTGCCGACCTTTCCAGCAGATTAGTGTGGACCTACTGGGGCTGTTCCCGACGTCGGCTTTCGGAAACAAGTGGATTGTGGTAGCTACCGACCCGCTACTCACCCGCTACACCGAGACAAAAGCTCTGCCAAAAGGCAGTGCATTCGAGGTAGCTAAGTTCTTTGTCGAAAATATCCTCCTACTTCACGGCGCCCCGGAGGTCCTTATCACCGACAGAGGAACGGCATTTACTGCCGACTTAACTCAAGCGATCTTGGCATACAGCCAGACAAACCACCGCCGGACAACAGCGTACCACCCACAGACCAACGGCCTCACCGAGCAGCTTAACAAGACGATCGCCGACATGCTGTCAATGTACGTCGATGTTGACCACAAGACGTGAGACACCATTCTTCCGTACGTGACCTTCGCATACAACACGGCGGTGCAGGAGACGACGCAGATATTTCCATACTAATTGGTCTACGGAAGGAGCCCGGCAACGACGCTCGATGCCATGTTATCCAACGTCACCGACGAAGAAAACCTCGATGTGAGTACCTTAAACGCACCGAAGAAGCCCGACAACTCGCGCGTCTCCGTATCAAGAATCAACAGATGACCGACAGCCGCCGTTACAATCTTCGACGACGCTTTGTGGAATACCAGCCCGGTGATTGTGTTTGGGTGTGGACGCCGCTACGCCGACGTGGACTAAGTGAAAAGCTTCTGCGATGGTACTTCGGACCGTACAGGGTGGTTTGACGTTTCGGCCCGCTTGATTACGAGGTTGTCCCCGACGGCATCACGAACTCTCAACGACGCCGATCGCGACCTGAAGTCATCCATTTCGTGCGCCTCAAGCCGTTTCATGCCCATTAACAAACTGAAACAGTGTTTTTTTTTGTATTATTATTGTATCGTCACTTATTCATTGTACTTTCTTGCATTATTGTTGTACCTTCATCTTTAGTTAAAGCATCGGGACGTTGCCTTTTTCAGAGGGTGGCAATGCCACGTTCCATTTCCCAAGTTTTGTTATCGTCCCAAAACACGACACGATTCTCAGCACAAACCGCGCTTGCAGTTTTCGAGAAGCTTCCGGACTGTAGTAGATCATTTCGATAAGATCACGCCCACTCTGCGAACGGTACAGATTATTCTGGAACCTACGCCATCGCCAGCGATAACGCTAGAACATTCGACGGCAAGAGTATAAATGCCGACGCGCTTTGCTGCTTGTCAGTAGTTGATCAACGGCCGACGCTCTGTTCGCCGCTATCAGTTCAAGACTAGTTGCTACTGTAATCGGACTTTCCGTTTACCGGGCACAGGTTCGCCCAATTAAACAGTTAAATTCCAACGCGACGTCTCCTGTCTTCGGCCACGTCACGACCCCGTGACAATATCAACAGAGAATGTAGCTTGGAAGGTATTTCAAATTAATTTTGAAGTTTGCGTGAGCGACCGACTTCATAGCGCTATAGACACCCTCAGAGGTGACCCCGAGTTGACCCCCTGCTTCCCTCACGTCACCACGCTGCGGTCAAGAAAACAAGTTATCATGACGCCATAGCCGCCATTTTTCTTTTGCTGCGTTAGTTCCCAAAGTCTGTATTTCTCGGCGGCTGGTTACGAGTGCGTGGCCGTGGCGCACGCTTAGAAAGCTTTGTGTTTGGCGACATTCCAGTGCCGTTTCCTATTCGAAAGTAATTCTTGATGCAGATTGTGCAGAAGTGCGTCACAGTTCTGTGTTCTGACGTGGCAAGAGTTGCACATGCTAGGTGGCGACAGTTGCACCCGGTTTTTAGAACTCTCTCAAACCGAAGCAGAAACTGATCGATAATAAGGGGCCTGTAATCAATTATTTATCACGTGCTGCAGCAAAAAATGTGTTGCGTCATGACTAACAGCCCTACAGCATCGCATTGCAGCAAAAAAACGCAAGGCCAAATTTTTTGTGTCAGTAGCCCTTTAAATTTGAAGAGGAGCTTCGCAGCAAAGCGCATTTCCCCTAGTAGATGCTTTCGCGGTTGAGCACTTGTACATTGCAGTGAAACCACCCTTACAAACAATTACATGCGGATTGATATACATCTATTCGTTCATTGCGAATACTTCGAAAATAATCGATAATTTAAATTCGAATCTAAGCAAATTCGAATACTAAACCATTCGTTCAAATATTCCAAACATTCGAATAATCGCACAAGCCTATTGAATTCCCAAATACATTTTGGTAATTTCTCTAAATGCTGTCCCAAATAAAGCAACAGGGTGTGCTACTTGCTAGAAGTTTCTACCATGTAAGTTGCCAATCTACAATTTCAACTGATCGGGATAAATAAAAAAAATATAAATTCTCTTCCACAAGAAAAAAAGTATGCTTGTTCCTTTCTACAGGAGACACAATCTTTCCATTGATGGAGCTATCGAGTGATTTTTTAATTATCGCTGTCCTTTTAGAGGGCCAGTAAACAGGCTCCGACTAGTTTTTCACACCCCCCAAAAAACTCACTAATTCATACTGTAGAGATCAGTGATCACATTTTCTGATTACAGTGCTGCGCACCACACAGACCCTTCAAGAAAAAAAAAATTCCCGCGCCTCACCAATCCTCCTCGTACGCACAGTGATGCAAACTGGCCCTTGGGTAACTTGATGTATCACTGAGCTCCTCAATCGGTCCTTTGCCCTACGAAACGGTGCCTTGGCCTGGTGGTAATGCATTTACAGCAGCACAGTTTGCATTTTCATTTCCTTGTGCTGCCCTTTCCTGTTTTGTAGAGCCCACGACTAGCGGGAGAAGTGGTATTGCCAGAATGAAAACCTCCGAGATAAAGTGGCGTCTCGATACTTTACAGCTAGGGCAAGGGTGCTCTTTGCACCGCACTTTCTTCCCGTGCCACTATGACACGTGCTGATGGAACGCTCTGTTCGCTCATTGGCTGCATTTGTATTTTTTAAAAATTACATATAAAAATCACCAAAACAGGCACATTGCATTTCTGGGCAGATAAGCATTGATACTGCATGAACGAGTCATTTGGATTGCTGCATATAATCTGCTGTTGCTTCTGCGCACCACAATGTGTGCCTGAAATTTTTACAGTTTTTATGTTATGAGGCATTTTCAGTTTATTCTAAGCGTGTCATGATGTAAAAGAAGTTGACAGTAAGAAGAGGTATGCCTTCAAAGCAAATAGCGGAACTATCTCAAGCTGTGCCACGTGCATGTGGTGTGCACACATATGCCGTAAACCTTAATGCACAAAATACGACTGCTATCATGCTCACCTATCACTGTTCGCAGGATATATAGCACTTATGACTTTATAAATGCTACAGATCAAGTAATTCTGATAAAAAATTTTTACAGTGTTTTCCATGATACCCCTCATGACAAAAACTTTAATTGGCTAGCTTTCTGTTGGACTAAAAACCGTGTGGGGGCGCTAACACCTTCTGTAAAGTTGTTTGCGCCTTATGGCGCACATGTCTCCCACATAGGCCGCATTTCGAGTTTACAATTATCGAGCAGTAGGTGGCGTTTGTCACGACTATCACCATCAAGGTTAGTGCAAAGCACCGGCAGTGATGCCTGGCAGCAGGCCTGGGTGACACCACTCAAGATTTGAGCGGTTCTCTTCGGCTGGTGGCGTTTGGCGCAAACGATTGTCTCTCGCAGTGGGACCTCGGTGCAAGGCACAGCGGGTCGTCTGCCGGGGGCCCTTGTGGCGAGTCAGGCGTTGGCAACACCTCCTTGTTTGTCATGTTGTTAAGTGTTGTGTAATTTTGTGTAAGGCTGTTTTAGAGTGTGGATCACAATATGTATAATAATTTGGCTGACAATATTGTCGTTCTAAAAGCAGTTAAACAAATGTGAGTTGTTTGGTTTGTTTCGATCATGTCTACTGTGTTCGTTCACTCCAAGAGCGTGGCGCTCGCTCTCCATTTCCAAATCCCTCAACCGGCACTATAAAAATTAGTATCAATTCTTTTAAACATTAGTCAGAATCAACAGTTGCAGTAGCATAAACATTCACACACATTTTTTCCATAAGTGAAGTGTAAAGAAGACTTACGCTTCTGCCGATCTGCTTTGGTTGGTGGTACCACTTGGGAGGGCCTGCGAAATTCCATAATAGGTGGTTTAGCAGGTGTTGCTACCTGTTTGATGGGTGTGGCCTTAGGCAATGGTGCATCACGCTTCTTGTAGCCCAAATCATTCAGCCTTGTCATGGCCTCTTGGGCGTTGTTATCACAGCTGCAGCAAACAGGGGATGGAAGAAAGCAATAATGTCAGCTTGGTGACTTAAGGGTACAAATGTAAACTGAAGTACATAAACAGTTTTTTTTATACAAAAAAGTGTTTTATGCCAAGGTCAACTGCGGCTTTACTGACGTATTTCTATCACGAATATGTTGTAAATTATACACTAAGAGACAGCAAAGGAAAAAGTAGGTAAAATATTATGTAGCCGGGAATCAAACATATGATCCTTCGCTCCGCAGTGCCCGGCAAAAATCAACTCTTTCACAAAGTGTACATTCCTCAGCTTGCTAACCCTGAGATATTTATATAAGTCGAACCCCTTTGTAAGAGACACTGATATAAGAGACAAATGGGTATGAGAGGCACCAGTGTGCCGACAGTAAATTACCGGTTGACGAGGAAATGCATACATGGTACCCTGCTTATAAGAGGCATCTTATATAAAAGAAGAGAATCGCTGTCCGTAGCCCGCCTCTTATAAAGGGGTTTAACTTACACCATTTATCATTGACGGTATATGGAGTTCAGGGACTTCAGTGTGTTTTTGTTATCACTGGTGAGATGGAGCGAGGGGCAGTCCTCAACAGGGTGGAATCCCTCGTTCACGCATGGTTATCTCTTCAACGGAGCAGTTTGTACGTCTTGGGCTTTCACCGCAAGTGTGCGTTGCCAGAGAGCAAGAATTCGCTCACTGCAGCGACCGCAGTTGCGAAAGGAGCCTGCTGCTCACACACAAAGTAACAATTCTGACAGCTGTTAGTTCGCACTTGTCCAGTGTATACTTGTGTGTTCGTTCTATGCCTCCTTTTCTGAGTTTGAGCACAGTGCTTCAAGTGCTGAGATGTGAGAGTTGTTAGTTTACACTCGTCCTTTGTATGTTCTTTTCATGTATCTTTTGTGCTTAAAAAACGTGCTGCAAGTTTTGAGCGGCTTGCCGTTCTTTGCGTAACATTGAAATTTCTTGCTATAGCATTCATTTCTTCACCCTTGTGACGAGAGGTTACAGAAGAGGCACTCAACTACCTCCGTCAAGATACATTTCAATTTCGTGTTATACTGATTCCTATGACAGAGGAATCAGTCATGTTTTTTATTTAGTTTTACAAGTACCCTATGGGCCCATTAAGCATTACATAAAGGATGATGGAAAAAGAAGCCGTGTAAGCACAATGTGGGCTCGATAGGTACAGGTAGTAAGGTACAGGTAGTAAAAATGACACAAAAGATGAGAAAAAAAATATAAAGAATTATATGCAATATCTAGTAGCACAACGATGATGCAAGTGCTGTAAATGTCAATCTCACCGTGGTTTCACAAGCAGTTTTCACAATAATATATTATATAACAACTTACAAAAGATACAATATAACAGTAGAAAAAAAAAAAGAAAAATCTAAGATGATACATACTATATGAAACAGAATTGCCTTCCCTAAAATGCTATATAATATCATATAAGCGAACTAAACAATGTGTCCCAGGAGCTACAAATACATGTAGCTTATGACACATTATCCTCCAAGTTAATTGGGAAGATTGCAAATCTGTAAATTTGTCAGTAGTTGAGGTTAAAGGGTTACCTTCCGCAATATGTAAAACTAGAAGATAATTTTGATGAACTTGGGTTTGGGCAAATGTAGGTTATGGTTTATGAACCAACGCTTACATTTGCCTTCTTGAGACGTGTGGAAAGGCATGATATGAGCTTGAAAAAATGGAATGTTGCTATGATAAAGGCTATCAAATCAAAGAACAACAATCACACTGCAAATTTCCTACACATAAAAAGAGATGATGCGATGATATCTTTAAAGTGAATACACTTTGATAGGCTGAGCATGACAAAATGTGTAGCTTTATTTCGAACTGATTTGAATACGTAAAGACACATTTGCCAGACGAAGCTGCCTGATGAATATAAGAAGGGCTCGACAAAAGAACAGCAAGTGAAGTCTATTACTCGTATGCCTAGTCTAATTACATTGAAAATGACCATGTTGGTTGCAGGTATGTAGTATGGAAATTAAAAAAGCATGCAAAATCACACAAGAGTAAATGACAAAACAGAAAACAGACTGTACCAGTAGAACCATGGAATAAACAATGGAAAACACTGAAATGATTTTGCAGATATAATAAAAAATCCAGTTTACACAATTTTTTTTCCTTGGCAGGCATTTGCACAGGGGTCAAAACAGTTAGTATTGCTTGAATTAGGCATGTTCCAAGAAATTTGCAATTAAGTAGCACTCTCAAAGCATTACTAAAAGGAACCTGAATGAAAAGTTTTGGAAGCAGGTAAAAAGGACTCCAGTAAAATCCTGATACAAATCTTCATAATATGTTTTTTAGCCTAATACTTTTTTTTGCTCACAGTGAATGTTACTACCAGCCAACTTTTTTAGTTAAATATGTATTTTGTATAATACATTTTATATTTCGGTTCCCGTGAAAAACGAATCAATCATATTCCACAGCATAATATCATTGTAAAAGTCTCCAACAACGATCCATGTTATAGTTACAGAAATCGGTACTATGAAAAAGGTACTATGCAGCTCACTTATACAGCATGTTGAACAGCATTGCTTCATCAGCTTCAGGAAACAGCAACTTGAGATACCGCAGCTTCATTTTTGGTGAGCTTGGTGCTGGACTCTGGTGGCGGATGATGTAATTGTTGGGGCCCGACACGAGTACTCGTATCACCTCATGCTCCTGGTTGTTGTGTCTGCACAGTAATATCATGGGATGCAGCGATTGTGTGCAATAGTACAAGCCAACAATGAGTAACATGAATTCGTGAAAGAGCCTCTTTAAAGATTACTGCCATACACCCAACAGTAACAAAAAAAGAGAGCTTTGCAGGTGAAGAAAAGATCATTTTTGTCTTGGTGGCAAGCTTAACTTCATTTGGTCATCTTGAAGTTTTTTTTTTATGCACACTGCAAGGTGAAAGCCTCTCCGAATGATCTTCAATGAAATCCCTACCTTGCATGAGCTGGTTCCATTTGATGCCTCCAAATTTATTAATTTCATCAGCTCACCTGACCCTTTACCATCCTCATCTGCCTTTCAAAACCCTTAATATTTATCTTGATGCCCTAACTGACATGTGTATCCAGGGACACCTTTTACAAGTTCACTTTGTAACTTTTTACAAGATAATGACTTTTTTTTTCAATAAACTTCTCTGTGAATGTTTAAAAAAGCAGCGATTTTTTTATATCCTTAGCGACCTTGAAACACCACGGCGTACCTGTGCATCTAAGAAACCCAGAACCTTGGTTTGTACCGCTTTTTTCCCACTGAATATAAGCTACAATCCCTCAAACACAATTTACCCAAAATTCTAAATACTAATGTTCACGCTACTAAATTATCTCGCAAGGAATTAAAGATGTAATTCGCTAACATGTAAGCATGCACAGGCGAGCCCACTTATAACGAACCTGAGCCTAACATGGCACCTGTTCGCTGTATCCTGAAGTTTGTAGTAAATGAAACACAGATTTTAAAAAAGTTGCGAGTGAAAACACAAAATTGTTTCCTCAAAAAAGTCCATGATGCACGTGCGTCAAAGAGCAGAAGTGATAAAGGCGGTCTCGAATGTATTTCAAACAGCACCGTGCTCTTTGCCGAGGCCCATGGCATTAGCTGCATAAGTCACTGGCTCCTAAGTTTCGTCGTTCTCACAATCCGAGATTCCTCCAAATCCCTCTTACCGCGTACTTCATTCACAATGCCTTAATCCGTGCACGGTTCAGCGGTGTCGGTATCATCATCGGCCGTAATGAAACCATCACAACAGATGTCCCACCCACTCTCCCATGTCGGAGTTGACCCCGCGTTGCTACAAATTGCCGCCGGAGTTGTCCTGTTCTGAAGCTTCGGCTCGGCATCGGGCCCGACGTCGACGAAGTCGGTTACACGAAAACAGTTTCATGCGCATGTAGCCGGCAACGCCACCCACGAAATATTCACCATCTCCACAGCTGAATACTGGGATGCCCGAAGCGGCAAGTTGGCTGCCAGATGGTCAACAGCTACAGACGTTCGACTCTGGAGTTTTGCGGACACGCAACGCCACCTGTCGACGCAGTTTTAAATACTGCAAAGCCCGACTCCCTTGCACAGTTTGCTGCACAACCAGCTGCAACTACAGCGTATGACACAATGATTGAGCTAAATATTAGGTGTATTTGCGCATTGAACACTTAGAAAAAGAGCTACGAATTTCTCTCCGCTAGTTGAATGCGTCACTAAACCGCCATAAAGTGCTTGATGATTCACTTGCCAGAACGATGGCGAAAACAAGAGCAGACGCAACAGCTCCGTTCTCTACAAAAAAAGACCCCGGTCGACGCTACTGTTGCGTTGTGAATTGCCATGCAGGTAAAAGACTTCAGTTTTGCTGATTTCCACCCCTTTTGCGAAATAAAATGGTGAGAGTGCTAGATACGGGCCATCGCAAACGTGTTGGGTGAGTGAATTACTCTTATTCCCGACAGCCAGTCGCATGAGAAAGTGTGATAATGTAGGTGATATGATAATGCGCCTGATCGTTACCACGGAGAAGTGTGTTAACTTTGATTATGAAGTTTAACAGAGCCTCTGACCGCGGTGCACGCCGTGCAACAGTAGACAGGTGACGTGCGCGATAAACATCGCACACGCCATGACCACCGATAATTTGAAGTGGTCGCCACCATACTGATTACGCATGTAGGGCTTCGAAGGCTCTAAGTTCTGGCTTTATCTTGAAAACACGAACACGTACGTCACACAGGTAAATCGCGAAATGATCCTAACCACAATCAGGTTTTTCATGCCGTTGGTCTCCACGATTGCCGGAGCTATCTCAGAGGCCTCGGTTTCGCCTTTCATTGTTCACTGAAAGTGAACATGCATGTATCCCTATTTGCGGTATATAGAAACGGAAGACAACCATCAACTTAACATTCTAGCAACTGTTCAATGCACAGGAAGCGAGAGATCGATAGAGAATGCAACTGCAAGGACGAAAATCGTCCCGGCCATTTGTGCCAGACAACGTGAGCTTCATACCACTGATCGTAAGATAGTTTGCTCGTGTATGTACTTCATCGCTTTGGCATCATGTGTATGCCCAAGTTTAATGAATTTAGGTGTTAAAAATTGCACCTCGGAGTGCTTGCCTCAAACTCGATGTCATGCGATGCTCACTTGCACTTAAATTGCAGCACACTGAAATAACTGAAACACCTTTTGCGTTGTACCCGCAGCTGGCTTTGATGAGCTTCCTACTTTTCTGAAGCGAGGTTAGATTGATGGAAGAAGCTTGCCAGGTCCTTTATTTTCAAGAAACCGTCCCTCCGAACAATGAAACAGAAAGGTCTATGCACGTTCGCTTGCAGACGGCTTTCTTTGCACTACCCATTTATGGCCAGCGCGTCAATGGGGGCGCTAATGGTGGTACTTTTCGTGGCGCCACCTGGGCAGAGTCTGACGTCCATAAGCAAGCGCTCCGCAACGCGGCACCTAACGCGCGGATTACGGCCAAGCCAAGTGGTCACACTTTCGACGTTTTGTTGAGCGGCAGAAAAAAAGCGTGCGATGCCTCCCGTCCGCCATCCTGACCACACACCTGTTTCTAGTCAAAAAAACGAAACTTCTGAGTTCGAGTCAGCGTGGCTGGTGTCGCAGAGCGGTAGAGACGGGCGAAGGAGTTGTGATCAAGAGAGGAGAGCAGATTTGCGAGAGAAGGGCAAGGAGTTGCGATAGAGTGAAGAAAGGGGTGGATACGGTGGGAAGGCGACCTTGAAAACCAGAACACACGGGAAGGAGGCAGGTCATGTAGCTTGCTTGAAAGGTCCACGAAATGCGCAACTCGCGTGTAAAAACTTGAAAGAGTGCCTGCGGTAGCAGAGGTCAAAGCACGGCCGCCAGGCCGTGCTATGTTCAAAGAATTGACGGCAGTCATCAAAGAATTGTTTTGTTGCACCGGCGGGCTAGCGTGGCCTCACCTACTTCGATATTTACCGATTCCTTGCGCTCAAATTAACAGCCATTTTTACGCTTTCCCACGCCTGCGGAGGGCATGCTCGGCCGAGTGCAAAGTGAGCGAGAACAGGCCCTAAATACGAAACTAATCGCGAATTATCAGAATCGGTGGGGTGGCGAACGATACGATAAGAGAAGACGCAGATGATCAGATACAGTTGGAGGCCGATGATGTTGGCAGATAGTCTGGTCACTCCAGGCCTGTGATGCCAACGGCAGTACCGACAATCAAAAACTGAGGGGAGATAGCCGACCAGTCTTCGAAAGATCCGTGGCAGTGTGAAGTAGCGGGGGGAACAAAGGACAGAGGGGTGCATAACAAAAAGCGGTCGGGGAGAATGGCAACTAGAGAGGCGCAGAGGCAGAGTTGGCATTAACAATAAGAATCTATGGGCACCTCACTGATGCCTGATCGGTGGTCGAAAGTGGTTTCCCGGAAAGTCGGCAGAGCGCCGACTCCCTTCGCTGTAACCAATCAGCGGTGCTCAGAGACGGTAGTTGTAAGTGCGATTTTGGGCCATTGAAACAATGTGCATTTTCCGGTCATGCGGATACCATTCGTTTTAAGCAAAATTTCATTTTAAGGGGGGTCATTATATGTGGGCTCGGCATATTCATGTATAAAGATGTATATCAACTGATCATAATTTGTTTGAGTACTTTGCTACTTATGCAAATATGCGTACAGTCGACTCCTCCTAAACGGAACTCGAAGGGGATCCATAAAACTGTTCTATTTATGAGAAGTTCCATTTAAGCAAAGTACACTTATTTAGTGAACCAAGACCTTCATTCAAATTGCACAAACCTCACCTTACTTATGAGAATGAGTAGGAGAAAAAAAAGGAGTGAAGAGTGGTTTGTTTGGCAAGCTTGAGTTGTTTTTTCACAAGGTACGCACCCATGCCTGACAAACTAGCTAGAAATTCTGGACAAGCCTCATGTTCAAAACAGCGCTGCAAAAGTTCAACAGCCTCTTCAGCTGATCGGTCTGGTGTGACCACTACACTGGCAGTACTGTCATCACATTCATCACTGAAGGGTTGATTCTCATCGTGCACTTTGGCAATAATTTCCTCGACAGTCTCTTCCCAAGAGGCACGAACATTTTTATCAATTGATTTGTAGTCTTGCAGCGTGAAAGGGGCAGAGGTTACGACATGACTGAATACTGTCTCAATGTCCGCATCAGCAGGGCTTTCTTCTTCATCAGGTACTGCTTTCTTGCGCTTGAAAGCCAGCATGGTGAAAGCATCTGTGTATTGTTGTTGCCTTCACTTGCTCCCAGGCATGAGCCAAAATGTAGATGCCTGCCAATAAATCTAGGCTGTAGCATTTCCCGCTGCCTGCTCTATGCAGCATTTGATGGAGCAATTGTCTGCGATAATGAACTTTAATGTTCTTGTAGTGGAGCATATGCACTAACGTGTATGCGCCTTCCAAAGAGAAGGAAAAACACCGTGCTCTGATTGCACGAGAACCTGGGCCGCCTTTGCGAGACTTGTCGTACGGCCATTTTTCGTTGCGACTTCTCCGGTTCAATAAACGTCATCACATTTGGTGGAGGCTGCTGAGATCCCCAAGCAGACCTGGAGCTCCGCTCTCGCAAGTTGCCTGAGAGACCACTGCAAAACATGACTGAGGCAGCCGCCAATCAGCCCATCCCAGCCCAGCCAGCACCACCGGCTG